AATATTTACTAAATTTGTCGATATTCGCGGTCGGCTTTAATCGTAATTTATTTTTATAAAAAAAACAGACGAAGCCATAAAGAACTAGAATTTCGTGCATATGCTTTAAAATTTCATGATGACAAGGAAATGAAACGGCATTCAAAACATTTCGATATAGAATTTACCGAGAAGTTTTACTTACGTGTCAATTCAGAAATGTTTATCCCAAATTAGTGATAATGATGAGCTTAGAATATTTTTCCGGCAAAAAATGCTAATTGTAATGTTGAATTTTAATTTAAAAAGCTTTTCCTTGGTTAATATTCATCATATTTGTGGCTATTCCGTTTTTTGATTCGAACTTTAATTTACCCTCTATTCCTAATTCAATATTATGTTTTCGAAATTGTCTAGTTAGGTTAGTTATAAAAGCTAATAGACGTTCTGATGATATGGTCTAAGATTCAAACTTGATCAGTTAAGAAAGCTTAACAGGTTTATTTTAGCGCTCAAATTCCTCTCTTTCTTAATCAGGATCACGCCAGGAAGTCACAGAGTGTGCAAATGTGTGACAGGGGATGGAAGAGAACGCGAAAATGCGATATTAGTAGCTTCCTAAACAGGTATAGTAGAAAACAGGGTAAAAAATTACATTTTAGACTTTAAAAAGACTTCTTAGAAGATTCAAAACTCAAGAATGAACATTAAAGAGATAAAGTGAATGTTAGGAAGAGTTCCAAGGGAAAATGGGTAAATTCAAGAGAGGAAAAAATTATTCAGCGCGGTTCTTAATCATAAATACGAAGATTAAGAAATGTCTGTGTGTGAAGGAACAAAGGCCAGAAAAGCTCAACTCCTTTTCACTCTATCACAATGTTATATATACACATTAAGAAATGTGTTGACTAGAATAAAAATTTTCAGCACAGGTTTAGTGATAATTGCGATGAGAAAAGAATATTGGTCGGCAGTTCTTAAAAAAATGTGGATAAGCATACGCTTCGCATGTGTTTATGGCATATTAGCTGGGATTTACAAATTTCTCCCTTCCGTGGCCATTTCGATTTAGTTAGAGGGAAAAAAGCATGGAAATTTTCATATGCAATATGAAATCCAAGTCCTGAAAATCAAACAGTTATAACTCTGGTTCTATGGCTTCGATAGAAAAGTTTGACCCCATTTTGGAAACGTCTCGATCTGGACTATCGAAATACATAAGAAATTATCTCAAAGTAGTGTGACCTTGGAACAAAATTTTTCACTAAAAAAAATTTCAATATTTTGTTATTGATATTAGCGCCTCTGGCGGTGGTCTGATGAACTTCTGTTGTTCCAAATAGTCGTAGAGTTTAGCAAAAACTTTCCAACGAGCCTTAAATAATTAAGATCGGATAAATAGAACCAAAGTTATAGCGCATTTTAAATAATATTTGAAACCGTCAAAACTCGGGTTCTATTGTATCCACAAAAAACTATAACCTATTTTTAGAGACGTCTTGACCTGGACTCCAACATACTAAAATTTAAAGAAAATGCACTATCTGATTGCCGAGATACAAGCAGTAAAAGGTTTTCAATATGGGTGGCATTTGTTTTGACGTCACAGACTAATGGTGAATATAGCCTACTGAAGAGTGTCGAGACACATCTTTCGGTGAAGAAATGATCGAAATCGGTTGGCAAACAGCGGAGATATGGGCTGGTAAAGGTGTGAATTTTGACCTTCCATATCTCCGCTCGTAATGAATAAGGTCCTAAAAGAAACGGTTCGTTGGAAAGGACTCAACCTCAGCTAACACACATTAAAATTTAAAGAAAATTTATGATTTCGTTTTCAAGTTATTCGTTTTCGAAATTTCGAAAATAGTTTTTCCGACTTTGGCGCCTCTAGTGGTGGTCCTACCAAGTTATGATGTTCAGGTTGGAGATGGCATTTTAGAAGATCTTTCTAATGTGTACAAAATCATTCCGATCGGTTAATTAGAAGCGGAGCTATGGCCAATTTAATTTTTAAATTTGAACTCTTATAGCTAGAGTCCGGAATTTCCTATGTTCTTAGGTGGCTGTTCGCTGGAAAGGTCTTGAGGTCACCTATAACATACTAAAATGTGGGCCAGATCCATGTCATAGAGACTGAACAATTGAGGAAAGTGTATTTTGTGGGTGTTCAAAATGGCGGACGGAGGGGTGGGGGGTTGGATTTGAAAAAAAATCTTCATTACCACTACATACTTTTAATCTTTGCCGCAAACCGCATGTCGATATCTCTTACCGTTTAGGCCCCACAAGCCCGTTTGTCACATCGGACGGACGGACGGAAAAAATGACCCCCCCCCCCATATTCTTAATATTTCCACATTTTACCGTTACCTGAGTTGTTTAGAGTGGTTTTTGCGAGGTTCGATTTTTTGCGCGATTACAGATATTAGCTGTGATGTATATCTCAGCTTATAAAAAAAAGCCTTTTTGTAGTCTTTTTCTCTTTATTTTTTATTATTTACATCCTTTTTGAATAACGAAATATATTTTTTGCGACGAGTCGAATCATAAATTGCGATGCAGTTGAAATGCAAGATGTTGTGGTGCTCAAAACCGACATTAGCAACCCTTTGATTTGGCCACAGTCTCTGCTGTGAGTTCCTTAATTGATTTAGTGAATTTTATTTTAAAATCAAACGTGCATTATATAGACTACTATCATGGCATTTCATCATTCCCATATAAAATCTTTTTGGAGATGTGAAATACGGTGCTGTCGTTGATTTATAGAAGAAACGATAATCTTCCTTCTCAACTGTTATTTTCGTGAGCGAAAATGGTAAATTGTCAAAATTGAAAACAAATCCTAATTTCTCAGTTTTGATCTTGACTCATAATTGTGCTATTCTTTTGGCATGTAAATTTTTGTCACAAATTTTCCTTGCGTCCAGGTAGAATAGCTAGTTCCTGCAGTCAAGTCACGCATCACTATATATCTTGTTTAACTAGCTGTGTATTGAACTAGGTTAAAGGGAATCTTTGATCTGGAAATCGAATAGCGCCAAAGTCACCATATATTGGTGTAATATTTGCTCTGTTGAACACATTTTCACGTTTGGACAACGGAGTAAACGAATGAAAATGAATGACTTAAGTGAGAAAGAAGAGATGCTTTTGCTGTAAACTGTGTGCAGGATTTGCAAGAGGAGAAGGAGAAGGCAAAAACAGCGAGATAACTGATATTTTGACATCTAGAGCAAGATTAATTGTCAATTATTGAGAAGGCTAAGAGTTTTTTGAGCTTTTTTATGTAATTAAAGCTTATTTTAGTGAACTAATTCGTACTTGTTATTGATAATTAAGCCATTACCTATTTAAAATCCAATTTGGCTTTAGATACAGAAGATTGAGGTATATTAGGTATCCTGGACAAATTGTTCGGTCAGAAACGACCGCGAGGGTACGGATTTCGGTTCATACGATGGGGCAGTACACATAGCAGTATCTCTTGCTGTTTCTTCTAGGTTTTTCAACAGATCTGAAGTGCAATTCAACTGCATAGACTTGGAAATTTGCGCTCGACCACAGGAGTAGAAAAAGAGCTCACTTGTTACACAATAACTAACTACTTTATTTGGGAAGTTCTTGTAACGCACATCTTGAAAGTTTGAAGCTGAAGACAATGATCAAGTGCAGAGAAATCTCTTTCAACACTACCATTGGAGTGTAAGCATGGCGAGATTGGCCAAGTGGTTGACAATGCAATCTCATCGAACTGTTGTGGCGGTATTTCAATAATTTCGCCTGTTTTTGGGCGGTGACGCGACCTTTCGTTTTTTACCATTAGAACTCAACGATTAAGTGAAAATCAGAGTTTGAAAATGTCTAATCGGATCTTGTGCTCAGGTTCAACCCTAATGGGCAAATGTGCATATTTTTTCACCAGCTCCGCTGTTTATATATCGATTTCAATTATTCAATTATTTGTTCACTGATAGACATGTCTTGACTCATAAAAAAGATTGAATTACAAAGTGGCCATTCTGTCTTTCAAATCAAATTTCTTGACTCCCTTTAGAAGGACACAACTATCACTAGTATGTGACATCATTAGGGATGCCTCCATCTTAATTAATTTTGAACACCTGCATCTCTATGACTAGGCCATGTATTCAAATAAGATTTTATTGTGTTGTCGTCCAGGTCAGGACATTTCGAAAAATAGGTTATAATTTTATACCGATATAATAAAATCGAAGCTATGTCGATTCAACCGATTCAAAGATTTATGTTATGTTTTTTAGCCTCAGATGCAAGCTCAGATGTCTCGTGGACCTTCCTATGTGTCCAATTGCGTTCTGCATACTGGTCTTTAGATGCCCTTGATTGCGATAGTTGTGATTTATTGAACGTTAAAAAACGTTCTTTAGTATTTATGTAAATATGTGTAATTTTTTCTTAAATGTTGACTAAATAACCTAGCCCGTCTTGTTTAACTATTTTGTGGCGAATTAAACTTATCGAACTAGTGGATTTCTTAAAGGATTCCTTTATAGATAAATTACAAATTAAATAAAATTACAACTTCTTTAAGTTTTTCAACATAATCACCGCTGTGATCACCAAATCAGACTTAACACTTGGGCCGAAGACAGTATCTTCCGATAAGATGGAATAATGAATGTGCCCAAGCATCAAAATTTAATCGAAATTTAACTTTTATAGCAAATGTAGAAATAAAATTTAGAGATAAAAGTATTCAATCACTATCACTTATCTGGCGAGGCTTTCACCCTGTAGCATAAACGTCTCAGTTCTCTCGGGTTGAGTAGCAACGCAACAGGTGGGCATGGCCAGTATTGCCCTATGAGTGGCCAGAGAGGCGGAGTCTCAGCTCCGCCTATTCATCCGATATACTCGTTTTTCTAGTTGAAACAGTTTTGGCACGACGCGCTGTGCGTCAACGTCGCGATGTGTGTACAGTACCGTTGTTAAGTGAAATTGAGTGACTCGCAAGTGGATACGTGAAGGCGCTTCATGGGGGCAACTGTGACCCCCTGGCCAGCGTCCGTCATGGACCGCACTATTTCACTGGATGACATTCCTCATAAAGGTAACGCTCCAAAGCCTTGTGATGAGCCCAACGACTTGTTTAACCATCAAACTCGCAAATAATTTATATATCCTTGTATTATATGCGATAAATGACATAACCCAAATTGTATTAAAATATTTCTTTGCATATTTAGTTAAAATTTTTAAAATCTTTGTTTTTTAATAAAAATAGAAATGAAATGTCGGAAAATGATATCATATATTTTCTTAGCTTTTATACTTATGTAGAGTAGCTGTCTTTTCATTATTTTTTCCGTACCTCTTCCAACGATTAAAGAAACATCCCCATAGGAAACAATTTCTAATAGATTTTAGAAACAAATATGGTGGAATTCGCCTAAAACAACTGAACAATACGCTGAAAAAATTATTCGCGATCTACTCCGCAACACTTTTTTTGCGCAATCAAACTTTTTTCCGCGGTCATTTAAACTCCAAACTCTCTTGTTGGGATAACAGATCCTTCCTGTTTGTTTCCTGATTAAATGTCCTTTCTTGTGCGTTTGAAAAACCTCCGTATGATCCTCTAAATTCGAGTATCTTTCACGCCCTACATCTTGATATTCACTTAATCAAATTTTTCTATGAAACCCTTATAAAGACGAAATAAGAAATAAAAATCGACAGGACAATTATCCTGAAGATACCTTGGATTCATTTAAACCCTATTGAGAACCCAAAACAAACATAAGTGTAAAAAAATTAAAAAGTTACTTAAGTGGCTCTATTTAATTTGGATAGCCGTTTATGCATAGTTTTGGTTTTAGTATCACAAATCGGTTAAGGATTAGGCCGAATCCTTTCAGACTCAGCATAATAATTTCTTACTAATGTAGAAAGATTCGTGAAAAATTTCAGACTTCTAGGTTCACGTGAAAATTCGCAGCACATCGTTATGTCTCGGAGCCTCGAGTGGCTCTATTTAATTTGGAATAACTAAATATACGCATATGTTGTTAAAATCTTCTAATATTTTAGGCGCTGCGATTTTATCACAGCTCACATCTGCGATTGCGAAAAAAATATTACTCTTAGAAGAGCCTGAAATGGCATCGGAAGTGTTAAGTATGACGAAAAAGTTGATGGAATCATTTTTTGTTGTCCGTTTTTCATTCCGTCCGTCCCCACATACAGGCTTCTAGCACCTAAACAGTAAGAGATATCGAAATGAGATTTTCGTAAAGGTTTAAAGTATATGGTGTGACTGAATTTAATGTTGTCAAATTAGACCCATCACCCTTTCACTCGCCATTTTGATAAATCTAAAAACATTTTTTTCTGATTTACTTAGTACCTACGACATAGATCGGCCTCAAATTTTAGTGTGATTTAGTTGCTATCAAGACTATTTCAATTAATTTTTACTCCGAGACCTAGATTGTTGGTTCTAGATTTTAGAAGCCAAGTTTCGAAATTTAAAATTGCCATTACTCCTATAATTTTTGCTCGATTCGAATATTTTTATAATTGGAGTTTAATGGAGGGTTCCTAAGAAATGCCATCTTTGAATTAAACATTTTAATACAATACACCACCTCTAGATAACGCTAAGTCGCAAAAACGATTTTCGAAATTTAAAGATGAAATAACCCATATTCTCATTTTATTATAACATAGTGCTATTTCTTTAAACTTATTTATGTCGTAGCTGGGGCAATGCATTTCCAACAATCCACATTTTAGAAATTATATTTTTAGAAGCGGACATAAAAGGGTTTAAAGTTTATACATTTACTGGGCTATAGCTTCGCTGATTACCGACTCTTTTTCTTACAACAGATGCTTACAATCTAGAGCTTCTTTGGAAGATATTGCAAAACTCTAAAAACACGGCGTAGCTTATAATATCTACTGATTATTGTACAAAAATCTATTCATCGCAGTGTCAAAGATTTTAAAGAATTTAATGTAGGATCTCCTAGGGAACAAAATAAAAAAATCACTCTTTCAGTGTTCACAAATATTCATAATAAGAAATTTACTAGATAAAATAAATTATTATTTACAACAAAGTAATTACAATGTAGTACATTTTACGGTTCTCAGGGAACATGATGTGATCGCAGAGATTTAGTGATAGTACTAAAAATAATGATTAAAACTGCACCTAGAGACTAAAAACTTAAAAACTCATTACTTGAAAAGATAAAATTAGGGCTCACAGAGCGCCTGATTGAGAATAGCCCACCAAAATGTGCATGGGGATATTAAAACAAATCGAGTAAGTGGGTATTTAAAGGACCAGAGGCGTGCAAGTAGCTCAGTCAGGGATTGGAAAGGGTATGAAGACGGACGCACCGACAGACGGGGGAGTCTTGTAGGCAAGTGAGAAGGCAGCAATACAACAGTGCAGGGGCATATCAGAAAGAGTACTCACAGGTGACAATGTGAGAGATAAACCAAGAGTCTGTGCAGGGGGCAATCAAGCGAGAGGCAGGCGCGGCAAGGGAGTCAAAATTCAGTAAACACTTGGCGTATAAAAACGCTTAGTAGCATACAGTTTTTCCATCATCACAATAGGACAGCTTGGGGCATGGTACGGCTATGGGGGTGAACGAACTCATTTGCACTCAGCACAAGTTATTGTCTGTTTGTGTTGCATTATAATTTAAATTCCTGAACACGACAATCAATCCAGCATCATCCTCCGCCTCCAGGAGAGGCCGTCGGAGGCACGGTATGGGTCCACATCCGGAACAATAAGATAGAGCTAGTCAAGCCAATAATCAATATTGTAATGAGTCTTCATATCGTTGCTGACACATCATACAAAGTCTTTGATATAATTAAGTGCTTTATTTCACTCTCTTTACCACCGCAGAATGAAATGTAACCTTCAAACAAATCGATTATGGCATTAAGGCGCTTAAAAATTCAATTCGTAATTTTATAATTATTTTGATCCAATTATTTGCGACGTAATAGACATTCGAAACTTAAGTCGCGTTTATCGCATTTTCAAAACCTTGTTAACAGAAACGGCTTTTGATATACAGTTAAGTACTATACATGTCAATTGCGTTATATGCCTTAACCTCACATATTAGGTTGTGAAATCGTGGGAAAGTGACTATACAGATAATAAAGTGACAAGAAAAAGCGAATATGAAAAAGAAGCATTTTGAGTGTTTCAATCAGCATATAAACAATTACTACGATTACTGCATCGGCAGCAAAAAATCGAAACATTAGAGGCGTAATGCAGTGTAAGCATGATCTCTACGAACATCCTACGAAGAGTTAAAACAATATACGAACACACAAGCAAAATTTTACTGTTTTTCAGTTTACAGAGAGGTTGTACAGTTGCACTGATAAGTTGACTACTGAAAATTACTAACAGGGCTTTAGTCAATGAACTGATGTGGGCAAAACTGGAACAAACTGATCGGTGGAATGCAGAAAAATTTTGGCCAATTTTTATAACCGGCTTAATTCCATTACTTACTCACGTAATCTAAATTATGTGTTAATCTTTGATTGTATCCTGTCACTTTGTAGATTTGAGAAAAAGAAAATAAAGTCCAGAAACGAAATACGGAGAATAACAAGAATTTGAGCTAAAAAGACCTGTTTCCGTCACCTTCTATAAATACAACTACCGGCCGAGGTATTAATTAAAGCAAATCATAATCACGTAAAGCAGAACAAACAAAAATTGGTGCTTAAAAAGATATAGAATGATACAGAGAATTTGGAAACGGCCAAAAACTTTTCTAGAAATCTGGTCGAAAATGAGAATCTCCCAAAAAATACAGGTAATATTTGTTTTGTCAATACATTAGTACAAGGAGTGTAAACATCTCTAAGAGGTTTATACTCCTTGACATTAGTCTATAGCATTGTTTTGTAATCCGATCATTAAATAACAGAAAAGAACACTAGGGACAAAAATCACACTTTTTCTGCCCTTTTTAATAAAATATGGTTTTTCTCATTCCTCGAGTTAGCGTTTCAACGATAACTCACTTTTTCCCCTAGACTCTCAAGAAGCCTATTTTCCCCTATTTTCACCAACTTTGCCGCACTGGCCGCACTTATGTGCTCATATCTCGCCCAATTTTTCACGGATTTTCCTCAAATTAAGCTCAAATGATAGATATTGAAATTATCTACTACTTTGTAAAACATTATGGGTATTTTAGGTCACTCCTTGTTGGTCAAAAATGATATTTTGTGAACCAATAGGTAAAAAAATCATCAATTTTTTACCACATTTTACTAAATATCGCCGAAACGAAAAATTTCTATGCTAGATAATTCTTCCTATGTCTGGGGATGCATTTCTCCCATACATGCCAAAGTGATATTTCTTTTGTATCTGCCGGAAAAACAAGTTTTTTCTTCGACAAGGTTTGACAAAATCAGATCCTGAATCTCGGAGAGCACCTGGGGTTATCACCCAATGAATTTACGGAAAAGGCGGAGAATTAGAAAGGCGGAAAGACATTCTGAGAGCCCTACAGCCTGCGAACCCACCAAGGGACAAGCGGAGTAGAAGATGATGATGATTATGATAGTATTTATTGATCATTTATGCAATCCCTCCTACTGGATTTTGGATATTGTGATTTTGAGTTCCATCGAGCTGTAATAGGTAGGAGTTGATATGTAAGTTTCAGCTTTTAATTTTACGCCTCATACTACATGTAATATAAACATATTTCTTGTCATCCAGCAGATAGATACCTAAATTTTTATTTATATTTGTCTAAAGTAGATCAAATTAACGTTAAACCCACTTGGTTTCAGAGAAAAGAACTAATCACTTATTGATAAAGCGCAACGTAGTTTTTAGAAATCTAGATCCATCACAGTTTAAAAAACGTGAGTACGTAATTTTTGCTTACAAACCGACTTTGCCATGTTCCGAGTTGTCCGTGGACCTACTTCGTTTCCGTGAGCTAAGCAACGCGTTGAGTTTACTTTAGCAGCAAATATTCTAATCAAAAGGCCGTGGCCTAAGCAGTGGTTAAAAGCACGGTTTTACCCACTTTT